GTTATTTTGCTTTAGGACAAGAATTTATAATATAAGATACTTTCTTAAATAAAATCTCTTTTCTCTATAACCTTTGCATACCTAGGGGAATGGCTAATTCCACATGCCCCTAGGCCTTATTGAGAATCTAATGTCCAAGGTAGCTAAATTGAACAATTTTCAAAAGTCAAAGCAGCTTATGACCTTAAAGCATTTAGTAAGCCTAATATCTGACTATCCTAACTTAGATCAAATGCCTTTATTTTACCAATAATCTTTAAAACTTCTTATTTCCCAAATATTACTAAAATTCCATGAACAAAAAGGCATTATAGTTTTTATTTTCTTTCAAAGTATTTGATTTGTGCTTATTTTTATTTAACAACATTAATGAGAGCTCTTTTATATAGACATAACACATACAACAGATATATAACTACACACACAGGCAGAGGAAAATCTAGTAATTGTAAGATTTTTTATTTGCCAGTTTCTTAAGTAGATTACTGGCCTCAGCATGGACCCCTTCAAGGAACAGTAATAAGAAAACATACAGTTTTTAGGGCCTAATAAGAAGGTACAGCTGGAAGACAAAAACAGATCCCCAAAATTAAGGGTCCCATTTTTCTTGGTCAACATGGCAAAACCCTGTCTCTACTAAAAATACAAAAATTAGCTAGGTGTGGTGGCACATGCCTGTAATCCCAGCTACTTGGAAGGCTCAGGGACAAGAATTGCTTGAGCCCAAGAAGCAGAGGTTGCAGTGAGTCAAGATCAGACCACTGCATTCCAGCCTAGGTGACAGAGCAAGACTCTATCTCAAAATAAACAAACAAACAAAAAAAAAAAACAAAAGAAAAAAAAAGGATCCCATTTTTATATCAGATCTTAGATCCCCAAAAAGAGAGAAGTGCTACAAAGAAGATGGTGCAATGCTTTTACTGTGCATTTTACTGCATGGCAACTCAAAGCCAATGAGCCCATTTTGCAATTAACCCATCCCTAAAAGTAAATTTTCTATTCTCTACCTGGTTATTACACACTAAATCTCTCTTATCATGTGAAGTAATCTCTGATGTCCCAAGGAAAAAAATAATACAATGGAAAACAGAACAGAGCCTTAGATTTTGAGAGGGATCTATTCACTTTCAATTCCTGGGGTTTCATGAAGGAAACAAAGGTTTTTCCCAAAACGGGTTTGTGGCATCTCTGCTGTTCTTCCCAAGGAGTCCCAGTCTTTTAGAGCTTGAATACCCACTTTTAATTAAGCTGATTTTTAACCATAGCACTGTTTAAAGAAAAGAAGTTCTTTTAAATCTTTTATTACCTGACTTAAGCCAGGCCAAGCAGCTAATATTTCTGTGCTCAGAGAAAGGAAAATGTGAGATGGTTCATGGAGGGGAAGAGAATCAACGAGTAGTAAAGCTCACACAGATGTCAAACCAGGAAGGACTCATTCCCTAAGCCAGGAATTTAACCCTGAACCAGGGCTGCCATTGTGATGATAGAGACCAAGAGAAAGTACTGCCACATAGTTACAAGGTCAAGCTCCCAAGGACATGAAACCCCATGAGAGGGAAACTTTATGCAGTTTTTGTTGTTGCTATTGTTTTGGAGACCTGCAGCAAAGTTTTTTACTGACCAGTGTGCTGGGCCATCTTGAAGAGTGAGTTTAGAGGGGTCCTAGGCCTGCATTCTATCTTAAGGCGCTCCTCTTTATGACAAAACAAGAACACAAAGCCCATCAGAGTCACTATAGCTTCAGACTAGTCTCACAAATCCTTTTTCCTATTAGCTAAATCTTTACAGAGGAGATAAACAGAATTTTTACCGTTAATTCAACTGCTTTGTACAAAGAGACAGAGGCCAGAAATCTGGTAAGAAATTCTTACCCTTTTGCTGGCATGTCCAGTTTCTGGGTTTCCTTTCTCTGAGTGGCCCTAGTGACCCTGCTCGCCATACCATAGCTCCAGGGGCCAAGCCACATTACTAAGGAAAATCATGGAACCACAGGCAAAATTCTCTCAGTTTCACAAGATGCTAAACAAGGGTTTGAATGGGGTAACTACATTAACATTTTCCATTCTGGCCAGAGCAAAATATGTGTGACAAAACATAGACATTAGTCACTCTGCTTAGCAGCTAATATCAAACTGGCAAGCTTAAACTTGCCCCTGGATGGGCCCTGTCATCTTTAATTCATTTCTATACAAAAGAGGCTTTACTGAGGAAAGGGCCTCTAACCCCTTCCTATCCTTTACTCAGGTAAAATGTACCCCATTACTTAACCAAATTCAGCCAATTGGTGCTGCAGTGTATTTTCTTTGATTGGGATGGTAACTAAGCTAAAGGGTTAGAAGATTTAATTTTTTAATCAATTAATCACTTAAGGATTTTATTTGCCTTTCATAAAGTCTTTAAGTAAAAATATTGAAATCTTTTTAGAAGTTGCTGCATATTAATAAGCATCTCTAGATGAGTCTAAATGGACTTCAGTGCATTGTTTATTCAGAATGTTCCACTATAAGTTATTTTTAGTAAGACTTTGCTACTTCCCAGGCCTAATGAATAAGCCGAAGGAACTCAGTTTTCCAGAAATTAAGGATCCCATTTCTACCTAAAATATTCGCTTTGCTCTCAGGTTCCTTTGAACTTAGCCAATGATTTTTCTTACTTAAGCATGCAGGAAAAATGAAACAAAGGGTCAGAACACAAGAAATCCCTGTGAGTTTTTAAAAGCCAAATTTTACAATCCCTGCAATATTACCATTTACTACCAGTTTCTTTCTGACCCAATCAGATGTAAGAGGCCTCTAACTGGATCCAAACCAGTTAAGTACCAGGTCAGATCTGATACTGGATCCAGTCCAGGTTCTGTCATGACTTCCAAACCCAGTTTGGATCAGAAATTTGCTCAAAGAAAACCAGAGCGCTCACAACACAAATCTGTGGAGCTCTGAAATCTGAGAGAGAACTTATCCACAATCCTCAGTTACTCTGAGAGATCAAAGGACACAGGTGGTTCCTGCAGGTGCCTTGGTTGTTCACTCAGTGCTCCTGTGGGTCATTAGAAGCTCTAATTCAGGTCCCACTTCTGACACCATCTGTTAAAAACCCCAGCTGAATTAAATTTACAGGAGTTTAATTGACCAATGAATGATTTACAAATAAGGTAGCCCGCAGAATCACAGCAGATTCAGAGAGACTCCCATGCAGCCACGTGTTGGAAGAAGATTTATAGACAAAAAAAAAAAAAAAAAAGGGAAATGACCTACAGAAATTGGAAGTGAGGTACAGAAACAACTGGATTGGTTACAGCTTGGCCTTTGCCTTATTGGAGCATAGTTCAAACATTCAGCAGTGTAATGCTGGTTGAAGCATGGCTGCTGAAATTGGCCAAGACTCAGCTGTTATTATAGGTGCATACTCCTAAGTTAGGTTTTAAATCTTGTCTACTATTAAGTTAGGTTGCAGTTCATCCACAAGGACTCAAATATAGACGTATGAAGCGCTTCTCAGGCCATATTTAGTTTGCTTTTATAGTGTGCTACATATGTGACAGTTTCCACTGCTATGTTTTCAAGTTCACTAATTTTTTTTTATTCTGAGGTGTATAATCTGTTATTGACTCCATCTTGTATATATTTTTAGAATTTCAGACATTGTAGTTTTAATCTCTAGGAGTTCCATTTGTTTCTTTGTTTGTTTTGTTTTGTTTTTGATTAGATAGTATGTTTTGTGTTCCCCCTCATCATGCTCAGGTTTTTCTCTACACTTTTTAACCAGTTTAGGATATTTACAATATAAGGTCTTTGTTTGCCAATTCTATTATCTCTGGCATTTTGTAATCTGTTTCAACTGATCTGTTTCTCCTGGTACTGGGTTATATTTTCCATTTCTTTGTAACTGATAATTTTTGACTGAATGTCAGACATGAATTTTATGTTATAGGGTGTGGAATTTTGTTATATTCCTTTAAATGGTTTTTTTTTTTTTTTTACTTTCTGGAAAGCTGTCGTGTTTTTTGGGATCAGTTTAATTTTTTTGAGACTTTTATGTATATTAAGTGAGGATCCAGAGTACCTTTCAGTCTAGGGCTGATTTCGTTCTATTTTTAGGAGGATTCTGAGCATCTACTCAATGCACCATGGTTTATGAGGTCTTTCCACTTTGACTGGTTGGAACATGAACAATTCACAGCTTTGTGGAATCTGTGAGAATTATTCCACCTACTCTTTTGGGGATGGCATGGGAAATAGTCCTTGTTATTCTGCAATGCTCTGAAATGGAAGTCTTATAGAACACTTTTGAATGATGAATTCATTTTTTAAAATAGATATAATGCTATTCAGATTTTCTATTTCTTGGGTCATGTTATGTAAGTTTTCTTTCAAAGAATTTATTCATTTTATGTAAGTTATCACATTTATTTGCATAAAATTGTTCGTAATATCTCATTATTATCCTTTTACTGTCACTACGATCCATAATATCTCTGCTTCAATTCCAATCTTAATGAATGTAGGGCCCAGAGGGCTTAGGGCACTTCACTAGATCTTTTCCCTGCCCTGCCCCCAACCTTCCACAGACCCAGCACACCTGTGCTTCAGAATGAGGTGGGTATCTCTCACCTCTTCTGCTCTTCCTTCATATTCCTATCGAACATTTGATAAAGGCTTGTGGAAGGGGTAACAGATTTGCAGACTCACCTTTTGTTAAGTCCTGTTGGGGATTCTAAAGTCTCGTTCCATCCCCAAATTGTTTAAAACTTAGTTAAAATTTTAGCTATTTTTTTCTTACCTATGTCTAAAATGACTTTCTCCTATTCCCACTTCTCCACCAAAGACGCAAGCCACTAAAGAGTCATTGCTTTCTAGACTGTAACTCATTTGGCTTCTTTTCATCTTCAGCACACTTATGGCCATTAAAGATCTATGATCTTGTAGGTAATTTCACTTGTTTTTTGTTGTTAGGATATAAATGGCGTTTTCTTTCAAGTCTCTACTTTTTGTATTTTATAGGTGGTGTTGGAGATCTCTGCTAACAGAGACCAATGCTGGCAAGGAGAACAAGGAAGAGCAGGAATGATGGACTAATTCTGGTGCCTTCTGCCCTAGGGGCTGCTTCTCATAACAACAGTCACTGCAACACTCTGACTCACCTGTTCCTGTTCCTTCAGGAGTGGTTGCTGTTGTTATAATCTGGGGACTTTTGCAGGTCTCTCTATTCTATGCCCTTGATATAGTTTGGCTGTGTCCTCATCTAAAATATCATCTTGAATTATAATCCCCATAATCCCCACGTGTCAAGGGAGAGACCAGGTGGAGGAAATTGAATCATGGGGCAGGTTTACCCCATGCCATTCTTGTGATAGTGAGTTCTCATGAGATCTGATGGTTTTATAAGCATTTGGTAGTTCCTCCTGCATTCATTCTCCTCCCTGCTGCCTTGTGAAGAAGTTACCTTTCTTCCCCTTCACCTTCTGCCATGATTGTAAGTTTCCTGAGGCCACCCTAGCCATGCTGAACTGTGAGTCAAGTAAACTTCTTTCCTTTATAAATTACCCAGTTTTGGGCAGTTTTTTATAGCGGTGTGAAAATGGACTAATACAGCCCTATACTCTAATATCATTTCAATAATTTTATTCCCTGCTCTAAGTAGCCAGTTGCTTTCTACTGCCTATAATTAAGTACCTTGATGATATATTAAGTGTTACAAGATAGGCTTAAAAATAAATAAGTATAAAATAGAATATATTTGTTATCCCTGCTACTTCAACAATGTTTTTGTTTTGTCCTTAATTTCTGTGGATCTTACTAAGTTGAGTTTTTTACAAAATTCTCAGTTGAGTTTTCTTTTCTTCCTCACCTTGTAACTTATAACTAAGGATGATAATAGCAGTTAAGATTCCTGATGTTTGTACTCTGATACCTCATATGGAAAATATCGTGAAGAGTCTTTTGTTCTTACATCACTCAAACGATGCAGAGTTTCCTTGAGAGATACCCAAATATCATTTGCTTAGCTTTTACAATTCTGCTAAAATGTACTACTAAAAAAAATCACTGAAAACTTAATTGTTTTCTGATTTTTTAGTGAATAAGTAAAAGAATAAGCTTAGTAAGAGCCAGAATTGCTCTTGAAAGGCTCATAAAATGTATGAAGGCTACACATCTCCCCTTAATCTTGATTTGGTTAAGTGAGTTTTCATGCAGCAAGTCAGTCACTCAAACCAGTTATTCCTCACCCTATTACATCTTCTAAATTCATCTGTCATGGTATACTATCTAGTAAATATGTTATTTTCTCCAAATCATCTCCCCAGTCTACTTCCCTAGTCCAAACTTTCATTGCTACTCCTTTTACTTTTATTGGTTGCAGTAGAAAGCTGCCATAGGATTTTGTAGGCTTGAAAAAGACTCTGATTACTGATATTTCTTTTGGTTCAACTTTACGTCACAAAGAAGGCAGTTTTTAAAAGTTAACTGAAAAGAGCACAGATAAATTTATCAACAGATACTGAATAAAAAAAAAACCCATACTTTGTTTTACCTGTTATTTACAGAGAGTAGCGTAGAGGGATAGTATGTTTTAATAGGCACCTCAGATTTTCAGAAAGCTGTTGACAATGGGCTATTTCCAGGAGAAGACAGATTAGAAATGGAATTTCTAGAACATTAACTGTATGGGACCCTAGACACCTAAGTAACTGATTTGGACTTGGGAAGAAGTTCACCATTGTGAAGTGCAACAGGCTGGCATAACTCAGTCAGTATAAGCAGAAGTAATATGCTGGGTATTTTTTCTCTGTCCTTTCATAGCTACTCTCCATTGTTTGTATCCATGCTCTGTGAATTATAGGCACAAATCACCTCTAGTTCTGCATCAGTGGGTTCCTCTTCTTTAGCTTCTCATTGGGCATGGCCAATGAAGGACACAGGCAAAGGATTCACAGGTAGCAATACAGTGAGATCGGAGTATTTATTCACCAGGTTTTGTCCTGGCAGGTAGCCAAAACATTGCCTCTGTCTGTCTCCTATGGCTTCTCTTTTTGCCTCTTCAGTCTGAAGGGTGGTTGCAGACACACAGTTACTGGCCCCAAGCACTACACTATACCTTGCCTCTTTCTTTTACTCCTACCTACTCTTTCTAAATAGTTTTACTCCTATTTATAAATTATTCCTCTCCCCAACTCCTTCATCTGAGTAGTATGTCTTCTGTTTCCTGTTGGGACTATGGCTAGTGTAGGAGATACCTAAATTATTCAATAACCTGTAAGGCATGAGCAACAGCTAATTGGAAAGGTTGCAGATGTAAACGACCAGTAAGGCAGCACCAGTGCATACTGTGTAAACATCAGTGCTGGCCATGGAATGTGGAGCAAATATTTTATAAGTAATGGTAAGCAATGTGTCAAAATTTACAAATTAGAAATGTAAGTGAGTTAAAGAGAGAGCCTGGAGGGTGTGCAAGCATGGCAATTGCACAGTCCAGACTTAGTTGCACATGTCCTTCCATTTAGTAAAACCGAGGTGGACTTTTAGCCCACCTCATTCTTCTAAGACTGGGAAAACAAATACTCTAGACTTTTCTCCTAGTTTAGGGTCCTAATTTTACTGATCAAGTCATCTTGTTCTTATATCCAAAAATAAATTCTACTTTTATGAAAATAGAAAACATTTTCAAGCATGTAGAATTACATGATTATAACTTTGTAGACCCTTAAATGAAATACATCTGAGGTATTTATTAACTTACCCAGTATATCTTCCTCTTTCCATACAATAGGTTTTCCATTTGATTAATGCTTCCGATCAGATAGCATTCCATCTTCTCTGCTGGTGAACTGTTCACAACACCCAGTACAGCTATTGCCATGTCTGAGAATCTTTCCTGGAAATCACCAGGCAGAATTGATCACTATTCTCTTTGCTTGAAAGCACTTTTCACTCTGTATCGTGATTAATAGTGCGTGTTTCTGTCACCATTGCAAGATTTTGATCGCCTTGAAAACGGTGATCAAATGTTTTTCATCCTTATCACTTTAGGGCTTACCACACTGTACATGATAGAACTGATAAACGTCTGTTGACCTGAACTTAATGAATTTGGTTCCTGCAGATTCCGCGGCAAGCACACGGCAGAGCCCGAATTCAAACCCAGTTTTGTTCTCAGTCCTCCATCCAAGCTCTTATCCACAATAATGTGCTGTGTTTCTTAATCATTTCACGGGGGTTTTGCTCTGATACATGCAAGATTTTTTTTAATGTTAAATTTGCCTTATCATTTCAGGAAGTCGGTGATTCTTATGTGGATTTTAACATCTAATTTACATGTGCATTGATTAGTTTTGTGTTCTTTATACCATAAATCAGAGTAAGAAAAAAAGTTTCAAAACCTGTCATTGAAAACATAATTTTCAAAAAGCTTTATTCCTATTTTCTTTCATGGCAGGGAGCAAGAGCGAAATGAGAGGCAGAGGTATATAAACTGTTCGTATAATACTATAGAGAGCCTGATGTATAGTAATGGCTCCAGGATCGTAAACGTCTCTCTTGGCACTCTTAATACTGTCAGATTATTACTGTGTTCTCAGATTCAGCTGGATGTGTTCAAGGATCTTCTTTGGTCTGAAAGGTCAGCTGCTTTTAGTTGTGCACTGGTGGAATACTAATATGTCCTTATTCAAATTACCTGCTACAGCACTTATTAAATTGATGGCCTTGTGCTCTAATTTAATACTGGTGTCGTTCAGAGGCAGGCTGCAACGGCACTCTGTGCTGAACTGGGTGATGGTGAGGCAAAGTTCAAGCTGAAACCATGGTTTGGGGCTGCATTTGCCCACTAAATTAGCAGTCAGATGCAGTGTATAATTAATTAGCACAAACCAGGGAAAGCTTGTCATTTAATAAGCCTTTTTTATTTCCACATTACACAAACAGTGGGAATTGATCCATTAAGTGCCTGGCTATTAATGCTGTTTAATGTATGTCTGGTTGTTAAATTGAGATGTCTAGGTACATACGTTCAGAGTTTAAGAGCTCCTCATAGTTTGTTCAGTGTTTGCTGAGATTTTAGGTCATGTTCCACAGAATCAATAAGAGCTTCATTACTGAATTTTGAACCTGGTTCAAACCCGTATATGGATTTAGGCTGATAATTTTTAGCATGGCCTCAGAAATAAGTCTTCATATATATCTCAAAGTTCAGCTAGTCTCCTTCTCCTAATATTAAATATTGTATTGTATTTTCAGCATTCTTTCTTTTTTATATATTCCTTGCTTGCAATTGTGTAAGGCAGAGAATAGCTTAATCTTTGCAGTATATGGCATAGTACCATGGAATGTTAGGGTTGGAGGGAGCCTTATGAAATATACAGAATGAGATTTCAGCTGCCCTGCCAGGATATTTGGAAGGGCACATAGTCCTACAGCGGTATAGAAACATTCAAAGAGCTAGATGTTGGGAGCAGCCCTTACCCTAATGTTTTTTTCTTAAAATGCTTAAGGATGATTCACACTGTTTTGTGAACTGGTTGTTGTAGTTATGAGGTGATTAACACATGTGTTCTTTAGAATAAGTCTCATTACAGTTTACATGCACAAATGAGAACATTAAATGCGTTTTCTTTTTTAGTTAATGCAGATAGGAAAACTAGAACCCTGAATGTGAAATTGCTTCAGAATAGGATAACTGTTTGAACAACTGATAAGGTCCATTTGCCACATGGAGAAATTATTGTATTTGCCTGTGTCAGTCATATTTAAATTAGTGAAATTGTCTCTATATAAATTGTCAAATGTCCAAGAAGTTAATTACATCTGTACACACACACACACACACACACACACACACACACACACACACACACAATGTACCTGAAGGCTGTTAGAAAGACCAACAAACATAATCATAAAGCTATGTCAACATCTCTGATTTTTTTCTTACAAACAATGAAAATTTTCTTCGGGTTTACATAGGGAATTGTAAGGCTGTATTTTTGTTAAAGGATACCACTTGGGATTACTTTTTCTTTTATAATCAAAAAAATATTACAACTGCAATATTTTCTTTCTTTTTTTTTTTTCTTTTGAGACAGGCTCTCTTACTCTGTTGCCTAGATCAGAGTGAAGTGGCATGAGTACAGGATCAGAGTGCTTCATCGTGTCTGGCTAATTTTTAAATTTTCTGTAGAGACAGGGTCTCCCTATGTTGCCCAGGCTGGCCTTGAACTCCTGGACTCAAGCAATCATCCCACCTTGGCCAAATTACTAGGATTATGGAAATGAACCACCACACCTGGCTCGCAGTATTTTCACTAAAATATGTGCTATGGTCTGAATGTTGGTGTTCTCTCCAAAGTTGCATGTTGGAACCTTCGTATGATGGTATTAAGAGGCATGAGCTTTGGGCACTTTGAAAAGAGGTTGAAGGAAGCTACTTTTACCCCTTTCTGCCACATAAGAACACAGTAAGGATGTGTCATCTTTGAAGTAGAGAATAAGCCTTTTATTCCTTACTGAAACTCCTGGCATCTTGATCTTGGACTTCCTAGCCTCCAGAGTTATAAGCAACAAATTTCTCTTGATTTATAAATAACCCAGTTTAAGGTGTTTTGTTACAGCAGTTCATTTTGACTGATACAACTTGAAATCTTTTATTGTGAACAACTGCTGAAATAGAATGCCTGTGACAAAAAATGTTTGTTTTGGGGACAATTCAGATTTGTGTAATTGCACTTATTTCATTCTGCTTCATATTATAATCAGATGTTTTCAAGCTTTTCTACTATCCTGACTAAAAGGTCCTTAGTGCTGGCTATGTCTAAATATAGCATTATACTTAAAAAAAATATTCCCTGCAGAATAAAGAATGTTATAACACACTTAGGTGACACTAAGGGAAAACTTGTTTAATTGAATGCACGATAATCTTAAAAGGACAGAGTTAGGCAAATACTTTTGTTCCCCCATGCTTAATCCATATAATGCCAACATGTAATTTATTGTATGAGTAAATACATACTTTTGTATTTTCCATTAAGTTTCCTGCCCTGCCAGTTTTTCATACAATGATAGAATTAGTTTCCTGATGCCTTTGTCTTTTTCTCAGTGAGAAAAAATTGTAATTATTTACTCACTAACAAACTAATTCTTTCACATTCATTAATTTTTCAACATTTAAGAAAGGCCTATTATATGCCAATCTCTCAATAATACAAATATATTGAGAGATTTTTATGATTCTCCTATTTTTGTTATGCATTGTTTTTTATTGGCATTATTTATCCAGTAAAATGCATTTTTGTCATCTATTAAGCTTGTTTATTTTTTGGGTTAAAATTAGTGCAAGTCACTCAATATTTCTGGTTATTTCATGCGCCCTTAAAATTAGGCATGTCGAGTACAGCTTTGGCATGCAAGTTTTGAAAAGAAGGGTGTGATTTGTCATTTTTTTCTCTCTGACATGCTGATCCTGGAAACGTGCGTTCAGATAATTTTCATCAGGCTGTTTCTTGAGTCTCTACAATGATAGAAATTCTTATCCACTGATGATCAGGTAGTGTGAGCTAGAAATAAACTTTCATTATATTAAGCCACTAATATGTGGGTATTGTTTATTTCTATATACTCACATATAATCTTGCTTTATTAGTTGGGATTCTCTAGAGGGCTGAAACTTCTCGGATAGATGTATATATAAAGGGAAGTTTAGTAAGGAGTATTGACTCACACGAACTCAAGATGAAGTCCCACAAGAGGCCTCCTGCAAGCTGAGGAGCAAGGAAGCTGGTGTGAGTTCCAATACCTTAAAAGTAGGGAAGCCAACAGTGCAGCCTTCAGTCTGTGGCTGAAAGCCTGACAGCCCCTGGCAAATCACTGGTATAAGTCCAAGAGTCCAAAAGCTGAAGAACCTGGAGTCCAAGGATGCATCCAGCATGGGAGAAAAATTAAGGTTGGGAGACTCAGCAAATGTGCTCTTCCATCTCCTCCTGCCTGCTTTATTATAGCTGCACTGGCAACTGATTGGATGGTACTCACCCAGACTGTGGGTGAGTCTGTCTCTCCCAGTCCACTGACTCAGATGTTAATCTCCTTTGGCAACATCCTCACAGACACACCCAGGAATAATACTTTGCATCCTTCAGTCAAGTTGACACTCAGTATCAACCATCACACTTGCTTATCCTAATTTATACAATAATTATAAATTATATATTTTCAATGGTGAAATGAGAGATGTTGGTCAAGGGTACAAGGTTTTAGTTAGGAAAACTAAGTTGTAGTGATCACAATGGTGACCATATTTGATAATACTGTATTGCATTATTTCAAAATGGCTAAAAGAATAGATTTTAAATGTTTTTACCAAAAAAACCTAATGTGTAGGTGAGGTGATAGTTGTATTAATTAGCATGATTTAATTATTTCACATGTCTGCATATATTAAAACATACCCCATAAATATATAAAATTATTACTTGTCAATTAACAAATAAATACATAAATATATAATATATACTAAAATAGTGTTCTTCAAATAGGTCTTTGCATCTTTCTTATAAATTTTTTTCCTGAAAATTTTATAGTTATATTGCATTATAGAAATCATTTTCCACATTTCCAAAATTTAGGTTAAGCAGAAAATCTTTTTAAACATATATTTTCTATTGTCTATATCTCCTCCAAGTTTTTTGATTGATTTTAGTATTTTTTACTCTACTATCATGGGTTTTCTTTCCACACAAATATATAGTCATCAAAAAGATGTACATTTTACTTTGAATGCAATACCTACAAAGTTAGCTAAGATAAAGAAGATAATTTAAAATGTATATGTAAAAACATTTTAGCTGCATTAAAAACAATTTTGGTGGCATATTCCACTGTGTTGTGATTTTTAGATTATATATAAGAAACGTAGCATGTGGGATAAAGGCCTGAGAGCCCCTGACGAACTATGCTATGACAATATTTTCTTTTTAACAAAGCAAAAAATCCTACCTGTAAAAGCCTATGCCTTCTTTACCTATGTGTTCCCAATGTTTAGCTCTTGCTTGTATGTGAGAACATACAGTATTTGGTTTTCTGTTCCTGTGTTAGTTTGATCCATGTAACAAAGCTGCACATGTACTCCCTGAATCTAAAATAAAAGTAGAAATTATTTTTTTAAAGAAATCCTAGGCTTCTTCTAAACTCTCAAAACATTGTGATTCACTCAGCTGTGTAAATGGAATATCTAATTTGTAATACCAGGTTACAGATAAACATAGTAAATTTTATTTTTCTTTTCGTTAGGTTAAGTTAGTAGTCTTTTAAGGTATTTCTGGAAAATCTGGATAATTATTGATTTAAAACAAGGCAAATAAAACTCATAAACCAACATTATGTTGGGATATGAATAAAATTTATTTCACATTGAATTCTGTCAAATTTACCTTTTGAATTCTTTGATATACTATATTGACATTAACAACAATTCTACATTAAAATTTTCATGAATAGAGGACTGTGAAATGAAACTATGATTTTTGCTCTGAGTTTTAAATATCACTTCAATATAATTATTCTTTAACTTATCTGTAAGAATGTAGATGATCAATAATAAATATTTACCAACTATTGGTAGGTCAATGTGAAAATATTTGACTTCTTATATTTTTAAATAAATGTCTTTGGAATAAAGGACAAGTTTAATCAGACAAAATAAAATATTTAAAATAAATTTGGAATAAGGAATGTTGATAAGTAAGGAAACGATATATATAAATACTTAAATTCTTTAATTACATACTGCACAACGCTTTGGAAAGGAAGTATACAAAAAACAACATGCTTAATTGGGATTTGGTTTATGTTGGTTGAAAATATGATTTTTTATGTCTAATTCTCCATTCAAGCTGACTTTTAGTGTATCTAAATAAGATTTGTGTTTTGGAACTTATTTATCTTATTACTCTACATTGTACAACTAAATAATGCATTATATCAGCAATAGAATTAAACTGTACCTTATAAATGGCTATAAAATTAAGAGTTTAGAACATTTTAGAATAGTATATATTGTTATACCACATTTAACCCCTAAATGCTGATGAAACTCTAATAAATTTCCGCTTTGTTATTGAGGAAGTTTGTATCAGTATTGCCCATTAAAAATAACTTTTTGAACAGAAAAATGGGTGAGAATGTATTAGTTATTGACT